TTCTAATGAAAGGCGCCTGGTTGAATGTGCCAGTAAACCATGCGAAATTCTAGTCGATAGCAATTAAGGATGTAAAGTAACCGCTCATTTTTGCGCGAACAACACTGGAACTAAGTTTGGGCGAATCGCTCGCCTAATGTAATATGCGTCATATCAAGAGTATAGGTAGAAATTCGTCACATCTAGACTCACACAGACAGCCGCCACACGCCCGGAAAAGCACTGTACGCGCGTTTCATCCTTTCGGGAATCATCAGCAGTGCGCATTCCATCGGACCCTTGGTAGGGCTCGAAACCGCAACTCGACTGTTGCCAGTCCGTGGTTGAGACCACTGAGCTACGAGGGACGGCAACGACCATCGTGAATAAGTTACTAGATGTGATATAGCGCCGCTCACTATCCACTGGCTTACACGTTACTGCCGTGCAGAGGACAGGGTAGCCCCCTCACCAAGCGACGAGCTTACCAAATTTAAGCCGCCAATTAACTTATGGCATTATAAGCAGTTTGGTCTGCGTACTGATTACAGAAGAGTAGTAGGGGAAGTCGAATGGTATAGGTAGAAATTCGTCGGCGCTATATCACATCTAGTAACTTATTCACGATGGTCGTTGCCGTCCCCGTAGCTCAGTGGTCTCAACCACGGAATGGCAACAGTCGTGATGCGGGTTCGAGCCGTACCAAGGGTTCGATGGAATGCGCACTGCTGATGATTCCCGAAAGGATGAAACGCTCGTATAGTGCTTTTCCGGGTGTGTGGCGGCTGTCTGAGTGAGTCTAGATGTGACGAATTTCTACCTATACCATTCGACTCCCCCTACTATTCTTCTGATATCAAGAGTACCCAGGGCTTCCGTATCCGGGAGTACATTGGGGGTTGAAGGGCGAAACAGATACTTGGTAGGCGGCTGGACAGTTTCATATCAACCACCTAACAGGAGTCGGATGGAGAGTGCACCTGATTTATATCTCGTGGTTAGCTGCACGGTGTAGTCACAACTGACGATGGAAGATGGAGCTTGGGGTGTGTGGATGGATGACGAAAACACGTACGAGATATGCTTACAACAGATTCCCGGCTATAACCGCATCAATTACTCACGTAGAATTGGGATGGAGCGAAATAGCAACTTCCACTTGGGAATGGCAAATGGCATATGAACTCACTGACCGGTTTGCGTCATGCGGTGCCACTCATCCCTGTGCAGACGCTACAACCTAACGAATAAAGGTGTTTCGCCGAAGCGAGTACATTTTATTTGCGACTTCAAAGCACATTCTCACTGCAACCCTGTGGTGTGTTCGAATACAGTCCACAAGTGACAAATGCCCATCCGGAAATATTGCCCTAGAGAGCGTGCTAAACGTTAGTTTTGCTTTCCCTACATGCTCTGCGTTTCCGCATTGATCATCCTTGCACGAGAAACAAGCAGCGTCCAGCGGCCTGCGTTGATGTAACGGGTTAAGCAATCCGGCAAACGGCCACACACACTACCCATATCCTTCAAGTCTGCATAGTTCAATTTTCTTATTCATTATGCCCTTATCAAAGTCCTTGTCCACTGGCTCTGCAAACACAAACAACGACAGGCGGCAGAACATAATCGCTTGCCACACAACCGTGTCAGAGTGTCATCTATTCGTCAGGCTCTTACATGATTGTTCTACAACGCGGCAACTAAAATGGATATGCGACGTGACCACACGCGAATAGAGAACTGGCTATTTCTAGCAGCGTATAAAATGCACCCTGACGTGTCATCATAATAAAGTTAGCACAACACTCGTTTAAAACAGGTATTTTGCCGCCAACTGAATGTTTTACAGATCAACCAAATGAATAACACTTTCATAATTATTACTGACATGCTGAACCATTTATTCGCAGTGTTGCTGCGTCACTAAGGCTTGTGCTTCAGACACCGCGTACTCCAAAAAGCGAAGCCGCCACTCGCTTTTATTCAGAACGCTTTCAGGATCCTTCTAGGAGATTCTCGGAGTACCGTCCCCTCATTGCCTGGTTTACATGAGTCTTTATTATGCTCCAGATGTCCTCGTTAGGATTGAGTGCTGGAGAGTATGGTGCAAGGCATAGAAGTCTCCCAGAGCGGTACGGTTCCTCCAGTAAAACGTACTCCAGGTGCGTGTGACAGTGCGCGTTGTCACAAATAAAAGACACCTATTCACAAACCGTGTCCCGTTGGTATCAAGCAATTGTCGCAGCCACTGAGCGCATCATTACTTGTTTTAACTTTCTGTCAGAACCGAACACGCTATCAAGCTGTTGTTTGCCATGGCGCCGACAAGAAGAACATTCGGTCCCCGGTTGTTCGCCACTGTACACTGTGCTCGACTAGCACATCGTGAGTGGCGACGAATGCGGGAGCAAAATAAGTTGAAGTTGGTCTCATCAATCCACCTTGGTTGCTTTCCTTCCACCTTGTAATCCAAGAGCTGTAAAACGAATGAGCTGCGTCGTCTTTTGTTCTCCAGCGTGTTCATGGACTCCAAAATGGTGTGCAGTTTCTTCATTGTTCAGTCTGCCATCCAAGTATCGTGAGACAGTGCTGGTACTTACTAAAATTTCAAACTCCACCTTCAACCGCAAACGAAGGAGTTCAAGGATAACGGTAGGCTCCGCAAAAACCCACTCCACCAGAGAGTCGAAGTGGTTTTCTCCCAGTGGTCTGCGACCGACTCCACCGTGTTGCCCCACAGGTTCCGTCAATTCGTACGCCGGTATACAGTTGCGGTAAGTTTTCACGTTCACCTTCAGTGTGCAAGCGATCTGCTTCTAATCGTCCCCTTCCTCGTACGCTTTCAGTATAGCGTTCTTCACCTCCATCGAGTGCCAACCATTGCTTGTAGGTGAACTGCACGTTCAAAATCATACGGCAAACCTGTTTGGCTGTGGCTCGTTATATCAACACAATTGTCGCTCAAATCCCTACTCTCGTTCTAATTGGTGGGAATCGCTTCTTTGGACAGAGAAACACAGGCCCACATGATGCATTGGCTACCGACACCATACGTGGTAGGAGCTGAAGCGTCCCGCCTGCACCCCAATGGCTTAGTGTGTCTGACATCCTATTGGCTGAAAGCGCTGGGCCATACACGCACACCTACACACCTGCCCAAACGAGTGGCGCACGCAAGGTCCAACGACATTAAGTGACGACTCAACTGGTGTGCCCCGCAGCGCAACTCCTTTGCCGTCCAGATTAATGGTGGTGCCCAAGGGGACAGCTTGGCCGAGAAGTGGTTTGGAGTTTCCGAGGGTTTGTCTGATTTCACCTTCCAGCTAAAACCTATGCCCTAGCGTAAATTCAGACAATCGGTGACGAATACTGGCTACATGTTAAGGTGCTTTGTTTTAGCCACACGTTGACACTTGCTCAGTGTTTTTGCTGAATTCATTCGTGCATCTCGGCTGCGTGCTGCATCTCTTTTAGCCCCTTTGTATCAACGAACCTCAACCGTATCGTTTTCTAGCTGCTTCACGGAGAACATTTTATGGTCAGTATATGGAGGCTTCACCCTGCATCCATCTCATTCCTGGACTTACAACTAGAGGTCTCGATAAATTCAAACTCTTCCAAGTATCAGTATTCTCATCAATGCTCCGAGTTTTACGCGTACTCCTAAATGGAACACGTCAATCACACGTCGCGTCACTGACCGTCGCGTGAATTGCTCGCACTGTGATTTAGGGCAAGCAAGCAGTGTTTCATGTAGACTACAGAACACTGAACTATCAACTTCCGAGAACCACAGGATAGGTTCAGCACCGTCCAGTAAACCTCAGAGCCAGTTTCAGCACAAGGAGTCCTAAAATGCTTAAGACACTGTAGGAATATTTTTCCTTGAAAATGTCATCGTTAAGGTGTAGCTTGAAATTACTAAGCTCATGCTGCAACTTGAGTTCGTTTGAACAACAATCAGTAGTACACCTTCACACTCACATTACGTTGCATGAACTCTTACAAACCAGCATCGCCATGATATGCACCAATAGTGCCATTTATGGGCGGTCCCAATCAAACTATTGCAAGAAACACGGTGGCAGTTCACAGCAATGAAACTCCATGTAGGACATCCAGTTAGACACCACTGATGGTGTTGCGTAAACATCACCTGCGGTTCCCACCCCAACTATCCATTGAGACAAGTAGTGCCATGCTGTTCGGTCGCAGATTCCCGCTGTTTCTCTATCCATCCGTTCTTAGAGACGCGATTCAATCTCACTTTGAAGTCCGTGCATACTGATGCATTCGGTGAAACGCACCAGCTAAATTACATTGCGAAAAATCGTGAAACCTATCAGATATTCTTAAGCAGCTGCACACTGAAATTTATTAAGTTAAACGACTGGGGCCTGCTGCAGATGAAGTTATGCTTGTGTAACACTGGTAGCCTGAGTTGGTTGCTCACCGGTTGATCGCTTCTCCGAGTTTTATACAGTGATTGCATGCGTCTCACCACCATGCGAGGTGGCCTCTTCAGTGCGGTGATATGCAGTGTACAATCCTGCACTGCACACTGCATATCACCGCACTAAAGAGCCACCTCGCTTGGTGGTGAAACGTACGCAATCACTTTATTAAGCTCGGAGAAGTGATCAACAGGTAATTTATGGTTGTCTGCGTATAAGAAACTCAGTTGCCAGACAACGCAACGAGACCTATAACGTGTTCACCTACTTAGCCCCGGGTAACTAGTCGCTCTCTCCTGATAATTATGTGCAGCCAAGAACTACGAGGCACTACGTATGGGCCTTCCAATGACCCCACTTATGAGTCACATTGCAAGCAGAGTGGCGGTTCGGGTGTACAACAGCCAAACGTGCACATACTTGTAAATAAGCGCAAATGTGTATTGAACACCGAATAACTCTCGAGATAGACGATTAGGACTTAATCGGATTGGCACATGCGGTTGAAGGTGTGGGTCTTCCTACAATGACACCTCACAATGTGCATTTTAATCTGAAGTAAAGTGTCTATGCCGAACTCACTTTGTCCTGTATGGTCTCATCCCTTTCTTGGACCTCCTTGCGCAACCCCTGGATATCTTTTTCCAAATGTCGGATCACTGTGTTTAGCTTCTGTGTCTCCGCATGAAACTTTTTTAATTCTTCTTTATGATCGTCAATTTCCTTCTGCAAGCTGGCAAACTTCTTTTTCATTATGCCAGATTCGCCCTTTAAACGGGCGTTAGCCTCCCTTTCCTCCCTCAAACGACGTTCGTAGCGAATTTTGGTTTCGAGGATTTCCCGATCAGCGTCTTCTTCAATCAAGCGTTTTGTTACATCGTATTCTATACTTTGCTCTCGAATTTCACGGTTCATTGTGTCCATCACATTGTTCTTCTCTGTCAGCTTAGAGTCATAGAACTCGGTTAACTCTTCTACCACCCTTTCACGTGTCTCTTCCATGTTTTTCAGCTTCTTTTCGTACTCTTCCTCCTTCTTCTGCGATGCCCCTTGTAGTTCTTGGAACTTTTCGTACTCCGCCACCAGTCTTTGATTAGAAGCGGACTCCAAATCTTGAAGTTCGCGACTATGTTTCTCCATAATTTCTTGTAGTTGCGCTTCGTGATGAGCAGCTTCCCGTTCTTTTTCCGATTTCAATAGCTGATTCTTAGTCTTCAAGGTCTCCATTTCTTGTATGAATTTTTCGGTCAACTCCTTGATGCGTTCGTTATAGTTCATATCCCTCAACCGCAACTGATACTCGTTCTCCATTTTCAGTTCGTCTACACGAGTCTGTAGTTCAGACATTATCGTATTCTGTGCTTGGGATTAAACGAAGAATACCGCCAAGCCGGTTATGAGCATGAAAATTAGAATATACATGTAGAGCATCCAGGTAACCAAAACCATTTTACCTTTTCTTCCAAATCCGATTTCGTTATCAAAATCTCTTCGGCCCATGCAATTTCTTTTTCTCCTTTGGACACTCGTCCGTCCCGCTCTTGAATCTTCCAAACCATTACAGAGCAGTCGTCGGAAACTGTAACAAGATATTCGTCGTTTGCTGTCAGTTTCATTTTCGTGATTGGGGCACAGTGTCCAGTGAAATCCTGCCAGTCGATTTTGCCTATTAGCGGAAATGTGAATGAACGCAGGTTTCCGGTCTGACAACCGCAGAACAACATTCGACCGGAGCGTGACAGCACTATCGTGGTTAGCAGCGCGTCTTGTGAGTAGACCTCACGGGTGATCTAGTTAGGTAAACAACGGGAGGCAATCTTAGGTAGTTATGAACTGTTTCGCCGCAGAATAATTCCTGGATCTCACTGAATCTATGTACCACCATGTGCACTGGGGGATGCATTAGAATGTGTCCGGTTTTTATCACTCTAACTTAAATTTAAGCACTTTCTTAGTTATTTAAACAGTGTGCAACATTGCGTACAGCCAGTTGCGGTAAATGCAAACGGTTGGAGAAATCTAACTATTTGAGGAACTTTTGCTTTTTTATCTAGTAATTTAATCTGCGCAGGAGTTAATACATGATTTAGTAAGCGTGACCAAACACTTGTGGCTTTACATGGATGACACATTAGCGGATCTAGTACACTGAACGATCGATACGTATAATAAATACCATTTGAACAGGAAAAGAATAAACAATGTAATACCTTGAGCAACTGTACTAAGATTGAGTTTCCGTTTATTTATATACTTTTCTTTTATCTATCACCAGCTGAATGTGATGTCTAAACTGCTCTGCAACGTGTAACCTAACAATCGCATGCAATCATGCGAAAGTTGCCCTATGAAAAGCCAACAGATGACAGATGGATACACTTCACAAGCTGACTACCGTGTCACATAATAATAACTGTCCAAATATGTCCCCTATGGTCACATTTAGACAAACGGATTTTATTAATGTTACCAAGCTGATATACAATGTGGATTTCCTTTTTAAACATCGGTCCACTATCACATATTGCTTGATCTTACAAACGAGTGGACGTAAACAGTGCAATTCCAATAAGATGAAAACTTGAAACCAACTTGTGAATCTATAATCTCCTTCAAAGTTTTGTCCGACCCCACTGCGTATGCTGCTCTTGCATCTGCCGACACAGTCACGGAAGTGTAGCTGCACGATTTCAATACGCTTTCACCGTTTCTGGTACCTGCAATGGTTAGCAAGCGATTTTTTTTAATTTAACACAACCACTGGAAGGGACATGCAATCAGTTAGCGTGGCGAAATAAACTCGGATGGGTTGAGTCTATTAATCCCAGGTGTGTTCCGTAGTCATTATGACAATATGTTTTTTTATCAAAAGGACGAGTACTGAATGGCTATGTCATGTAGTCTCGTTCGGGAACCGTTTGCTAACTTTTCCCTTAGCATGAACATATGCGATGCTGTTATTTCTCATGGTTGCTCCCTACAGTCACTACCATGTTTGTTTGAAACTTCAAGGTAGAAATTTGTACTATGAGCCGATGGCTCGCATATTTACCGCCAGACAACCTCATCTAACAGGTACCCATCGTACTCAAAATTAATAATTCATTTTGCTACGCTATACTGAATCAAAGTAGTCCCCTCTGGTTTTTGGCACTGGAGCACCGGAAATGAAAGCATTGCTTCTTACTCTGAGTATGATACACAATATCGTTTAGGGTAGTTTGCTTTGTACTAAACACTGAGTTCCTCGCATCTTGGGATATCACCTGAAATGAAAACCTAGTGGAATTTGCCCTTCCCGGCGCTGTATCCCACGTCTGAGGTTGTGATTTTATTCAGTTTTAGGTGTATATTTCTCTTTAGAAAATGAACGTCTAGGCCACTCATGCAACAGTTTATGGTTGATCGATTTCACCTTCTTCGTGTGTACTACAGCTCACATCTGTAAATCTGTCCTGCCGATAAATTGTAGAGGTGGGAACGTTCTGAAGTCGGATCAGAGAATTTAATACCCTTTATATGCACAACATACCTTTCTGTGGATCCCATTCGTAGACCGCGCCATCCATGCCGCAGGAAATGAGTTTGTGGTCATCATTAGACCATACAATGCAGCGGATCTTGCCGTTGTGTCCTTTCAAATTTGTCACATTTTCGAAAGTGGTTACTGAGAAGATTTGGATCACATTTCCGTGAGCGACTGCCAGCAGATGTCCTCCATTACTGAATGCACACTAATAAGTGCGAAGTAAGAGAAGCTAATGCAGGAACCGACGTGATTTGTTAAACCTGCACACCACATCGGACATCACAAGCAAAGTTTATAGCCCAGCAACCGGAGGCTCTGGATTCTAAGGGAAAGTCAAGTCTGTGTAATGTTATGGACAAGTGGTGTACAGCCTGTGGACACAACCGTCAATAAGTGTTCTTGCTTTTTTATTAACTCCAGAAGCAGGTTTTGATGCGGTTGTGTTTGCATATGATCCGCTTTGGATGTGGGATTTTCTGATTATGGTTTTAATGTGTGCAAGTAAGAAACTCAGTGCATACTATGGTGGAAATCAGGTAAGCGAGCGGTTCACTGACTTCTCTGAGCGGATAGCACAACACACTGCATAATTTTACGGTTATTCATTAGTTCTGTGTCAAAACGCAATTTCAGTAGTACTGCTGCATGTAAATTTATTCGACTATAAGGGACCAAATGTGGTGACGGTAATCATGCTCGTGAATAAATACAAAGTTGGATAGTCTGCGGTTAATGCCCAATGAACTAAAGGCACAAAATATTTCTATGAAACGTAGAAGGTGCATTACATTCTGATCCACAGATTTATGCAACGAACATCAATATTCTCCAGCTAACTACGTCTGTTCAAAGAAATTTGTTAACTTTATGCAAATACTTACAATTACTTACAATTACTCTTACTCGGTTAATACTTACCTCACGACAGCCTCTAATGGGAAACTCCTGGAAGGTGCGAATATCATCAATTAGCAAGTTCATTAAACGAAGTTTGTCACTAAACCCGACCAGTATGTACAAACCAGTCGGATGAAGAGCTATGCTGTAGGCCTCCTCTGCAAACTGTTTGGATAATTCGAGAGTGCTGCAAAGAGAGGACAGAAATTGAATTAGCAACGTGTCCAATTTTAGACCAACTGGGATGTAATCCAGTAAATTGAACTTGTTGTCATCTTTGCTGTTATGGAGACGAAACGCTGTACCGACTGGTTAGGGGAATTGCAAGATCATTTTGAAACGCTTCAAAAGCCAAGTCTTACTAAGGGTCGCTATATTACTATCCCAAACGTCAGAGCTAGGTATCAGATGTTTGCGGTGTGGAGACCAAACCTTAGTTGGGTTACCACTCTGATGTATATGCTGCTTCCATGACTGGTACGAGATAGCTGTGACAAAAATCTGCATGCCAGGTTACTTTTTCATTTGAAACAATTAGTTTCCTTTTAACATTTTAACTAACGCAGTGAGAAGACGAAATCTGGCTGGTGTTAACAGTTCCTGTTGTCTCGTCCGTGCCAATATAATAACAGAAAACTTGTATAAAACCACAGCTTGGGTGTGGCCGGACAAATAGCGACAAGCTGGGAGACAGTTGTGCCGCCCCTGCATCCATGGGAGCTTTAGGCCAACAAACAGTTGTTTATACACATCTTTTCTTACCCACTTGTGTAGATGTACAGAATTGACAGAAGCACTCTTCTGATCTGAGACACCACATAGACTCGTTGTAAGTTTAAAGCCAACGTTTTACTTGGACCTTGAAATTCGATTCACTTAACAAAGCCATAAAGCAAGGTTGAAACACAAGTAGTAAATCGGTTTTACGAATAGTATTCTGGTTTGACGAAGAAGACAACAGGGCCATTATGACCTCCACGTGACATGTTATTCACTCGTTACTAGCATGACGTAGCTTGCCATTTCATGCTATGTTGTAAACTGGACTCACTACAACCCATTGCACTTGGCTTTACAAAATATGTGTTACCTTGTATGAAATACCGCTCATTGATCCAACAGGATCTGCAAAAATCCGACCAGTACGCTCTTGAGAGTATCCAGCAACGCTTCACAAAATGCTGTGTGGCCTTTTCTCATAGATGACATAGAGAGAGTGTTATGATAACCATAGATTTGACCCACTCTGGCTTCGGAGAATGAAGCTGAACATATCTTTCCTTCACAGAATCACAAACCAATAACTTCACAGTTCGGATGATGGAGTTCACATGTCTTTAAACATCCGATACCAAATCCGCAGCAAAAAGATATAGGTTACGATTCCAAAATTTGCTATGCGAATCAGGGAACGTATTTTGCTCTTTCACTACTCCAAGATTTGTAACAAACGTTCCATAGTTACCAGAACGTGTTGTACACTGCGAGATCGTAAGCTTGAGATTAATCGACAATTAACTGTCCAAAACGTGATTAATACGTTCCAGACATCACAATCCCTGGATGTTGCTTTTTAGATAACTGGGTGATAGTGAGGTATCCTGCCATACTACGCGGAATTTACCTTTATACCTCCAACAGATTGAACGTCTATAAAAGGCTTTCGTCGGTCTTCGCCATTAACAGCAGTGTATGACAGGGCTGACCTATGTCTCATTCATCTTCAACTTTGCAATCGAAAACATCCTGTCGACAGTGCTAGAATGTCTCCAAGATTTTGGCTTAGAGCCTTGTCAAGTGGGCGAGCGACCGAGTGAGTGACTTAGAGCATATTGATGATATCGCCTTACTTGTTAGCGATCCACAGAGTATCGTTTGAGAATCGTTTGACAGTTGAGGCATCTAGGTATGGAATGACCTACGCCACGTCGACGTGTAAGGCGCCGCTTCAGGACTGGCCCATACCCGCTCCTGTGCTCACCCTTGAAGGTACACAAATTGAACAGGTAGAGCAATCGTGACGAGACTGGACCTTAACATGGTGCGATGGTTTGTGCGCCTCAGTGATCCTTTGAGCTATGCTGGGTGGTGCTTTTTGCACCTTCAGAGCCACTCATGCTTGGTAGGTCAATGAGCAGAGGTCAGATAAACTCAGTTTCCCGGCCCTCCGTGTTGGGATTGGAGTAAGGATGGCTCCTTACTCCATAAAACGGGCTCTCTGCACTCCAGTGCCAAAACCCTGCTGCCTTGCGGTAAGGTTTTTGAAGCAAAGGCTGTGGTTGACCACCCCAATCGTTTTCCTGTCTAGGACTGAGCAACCTGACAGTATTCTGCCCACGCAATAAAATGAAGCTATTTTCTAACAATTTCTTGTTGCTCTGCCCGTCGCAGAAGATAATCAACGGTACTCTATCTGCTGCATCGCGCAGAGTGAATAGGGGTTTGGATGCTACTGCTCAGGCCTTCCCGTCTTCTTATCCCCCTTCTTGCGCTTTTTCATCCTTATCGTCCTGCTCCAACTTTAATTTTATCCCCTCATGTTCAATCTTCTAATTCTTGGCCCTCCTCCAGCTTGCTTCATAGTCGCTTGTCTTCTATTTTCAACTCACACAGTCGAAGGGCGTCACTCCAATCCTGTCGACAAGTCCATGTTCAACTAAGCGGACGTCAATTCATCCGTTTCCCCTTGGAATCCTCGAGTCTCACTAAGACTGACATGCCTCAAGGTGCGCACTTTGCTACAGATTGGCCAACAGGCAACACTTGCCCTCACATTCGAGACCCTATCGAACGATATTTGAGATTTATCAGAAACCCGCCTACAAGTTTCTAGCTCCGTGCTTACCCTGCCATCCCCACATGCGACACTGGCTGTACATTCTCATTGCGCCTGTCTGGCGACGATGCAGCTTCAATTACCGGTCAAGTTGGTGTCGCCATGGTTTTTAGTCCCCGGGCTGAAGCTGCGCTGATTGATTGGATCCCAGTAAACATTCGGATGTGCGCTGTTAGAACACCTGGTTCGTTTCATGATACCAAGTCGCGCGAGAACAAACGGTGCCAGTGTGTCATTGCGGCCTACGTCCCTATAAACTGTAGCACTGGTTCGGTGAGAGCGGATTTCTATCAGCAACTTCACGATCTCCTTCGTTACAGAAGAAGCAAGGATACTGTGGTGTTGGCCGGCGATCTAAACGTCCAAGTCGAAAAATTGTCCTCTGATGAGCTTCATCTGGGCGGCGAACATGGTGTAGGCTTCCGTAGTGATAACGGTGAGCGATTGCTACAGCTGTGTGAAGATGCTCGTCTCTTTCTTGCGAGCACAAATGTTCGACACAGCACCCTGCAGAAGCGTGACTTGGCACCCACCAACTTCACACCAGCCATGGACGCAAATCGATCATATCGCGAGCAGTTACCGCTGGAGAGGAAGTGTTCAAAACTGTCACTCGATTTGGAGCACGAGCGTGGACTCTGACCACGCACTTCTTTGCGCCGACCTCCGGGTACGTTCCGGTGGACGTCCGCAACTTCACTGTGAACGGATTGACACCAGCCAACTGGCGAAGGCAGGTGTTCTGAATGGGTATCGAAGTGCACTGACATCCGGGCTGAGTAAGTGCGCACTGAACCCCGTCGAAGATCACTGCTGCCATATTCATCAAACATTACTATCAGCAGGCATGTCTTCATGTGGCAAATCAAACTGTGAAACTGGACATCGGGTCTCTACACAGTCTCTGGAACTTATGGATGCTCGCCGACGTATTCCGGCTGGAAGCGAATACAATGATGCTCGCAAAAATCTCATGGCAAAATTGCGTGCTAGCCTAAAGAAAGACCGCGAAGCCTGGTGGTCTCGTCGTGCCTCGGAGATGGAAACAGCCGCTACTGTTGGTAATCATCGTAACTCATTCCGTCTGATAAGGGAATCAGACAGCAGGAGATCTAGTGTTAGCGAAACTATACGCGACGAGAGTGGGCAGCCGATCCACAGCCTGTCAAAACGCTTGGAGCGTTGTGCTGAAAACGTTGCAAGGCAATTTAGCCAACCTGAGTTATCGCTTTCTTCTTCGGGCATAAAGCGCACTTCTCTCTGGGACATCTCCTTAGATCCGCCCTCACGCTCAAAAGTCAAAGGTGAGAGCAGGCTGTTGAAATTGCATAAAGCCGCAGGGGCAGATAGAATTCCCCCAGCCCTCTTCAAATTCGGGAACCTGCTCTAGTAGGTGATGTACACGAGTTGCCAGTGAAACTTTAGGAGCAGGAGACCGTCCCGACAGACCGAATCCGCTCTGTCATTGTCCCAATTTTCAAAGGAAACTCCCGTTTGGCAACCGTAGAGGAATCAGTCTGATTTCGATTGCCTCTAAATTGCTTACCTCTGTCATTCTCCACAGACTGACTGGCACTAGTGAAAGCCAGATTCGTGAAGAGCAAGCGGGTTTCTTCGAGGTCAGGGGTGCATCGACCACAGCTTCACCTTGCGTCAATTGTTAGAGCGCCGCTATATTTATTGGAGACCCACCGTTACCGTGTTTCTTGACATAAAAGTTGACTTCGACTCAGTCGATCAATGTGCTCTTTGGGAATGTGTGCTGAAAAAACGATGTGCCTGAGAAATACATAAACATTACCAAAATGCTGTACACGCATAGTTCGGGCAGAATGAAGGTTTGTGGCAAACTGTTGCCACCCTTCAGTATCATCAGCGGTGTGAGACAAAGTTTCGCGCTCTCACCTTCCCTTTTTAACTTCGCAGTTGACGAAGTCATGGAAACAATATTCGCTGGACAGGACCTAGAAGGTGTGGAGCTACTTCCTGGTGAGCGACTTCTTGACTTAGAGTATGCGGACGATATTGCCCTAATCTGTGACAGCTCCCAAACATGCCAAGCCATGATGGACCGATTAGCACTGGTTGTCTATCGTTTTGGGCTATGCTTTGCTCCATCAAAATGCAAAGTACTTTCCAAAGTTGGCAAAGACCCACCCCTGCGCTAACGCTTTGTGGTGATCAACTAGAAGTCGTTCAGGAATTTAAGTACCTGAGCAGCTATATTAGCGCCCGTGGGATCAAAGATGAGGTTACGAACCGTATAGCAAAAGCTCAAAGTGCTTTTGCCAATCTCCGCCACCTGTGGTGCAGGCGGGATATTACCCTCGCCCTAAAGGGCAGAGCGTATA